ATATATATATATATATATATATATATGTTATATTTGTGCTGATAAATAAATAAAGGCACAAATACAACACAAATGTAACAAGGACAACAGTAAAAATATTGGGTTTCTGTCTGGATGGTCTCTTATTATTTTGGGGTTGTGAGCTGCCCAGTTTGGTTCAAGAAGAGCAGCTATACAAATGTTTGAAATAAATACATATTTTGTGAAGTTATAGCATTCTTTAAAAAAAAAGAAGAAGTGCTGAGTTTGTCTGCCAAGAAAATGCAGGTTGTGATGCATCAGAAGTTTGTAATTTATTGGTGAAGAAAACATTCCATATAGCCAGAAAGAGCTGGCATTTCTTGGCTTCATACCTTCATGGACTGAGTTCTTATACAACTACTGGTTTTGCTAATCAGCAAATAGACCCAAATGGACATACAATTCAACGGTGCCTGAATAGGTCATTAGTTTTTTTCATTGGTTTCTAGTTCAAATAAAAAAAAAATTAAGGCTCTTGTTCCCTTTTTTACCCATCAATGAGTTTTGTGTATGAATCAATTATCTCTGCTTATTTTGGCCCTCTTTTACTATTCCCTATGCCCAAGGGCTGAGGTTATTGATCAGTGGTTGACAGTTACCTCTGCAAATTCATGTATCCATGCTATAATCACAGCAAGAACATCATACCAATCAATTTCATTCGCTGCAGGGAAAGACATTTTGAAGATGAGATCTGAACATTACTGATGGGTTGATCAAGGACGGCCACAGAAAGAGCCACTATGCAGTTAATCAGAAAAGCAGATGACAGATTCTGGAAACTTACCCGAAATAATGAATAGAATGGAATAGAATAGAATAGAATAACAGAGTTGGAAGGGACCTTGAAGGTCTTCTAGTCCAACCTCCTGCTTAGGCAGGAAGCGCTACACCACTTCAGACAAATGATTATCAACATCTTCTTTAAAACTTCCAGTGTTGGAGCATTCACAACTTCTGGAGGCAAGTTGTTCCAATGATTAATTGTTCTGTCAAAAAAATTCTCCTTACTTCTAAGTTGCTTCTCTTCTTGATTAGTTCCCACCAGTTGCTTCTTGTCCTGACCTCAGGTGCTTTGCAGAATAGCTTGACTCCCTCTTCTTTGAGGCAACCCCTGAGATATTGGAACACTATCGTGTCTCACCTAATCCTTCTTATAATGAAGATAATATTTCCTGCTTTAGGTCCCAATAAGGACGTGAGACAAAATAAATTCCAAATTGAAACTTTTCAATCGGACGTATAAAGTCACGCACGCTCGAGTCGAGTTTACGTTCACTGAAAAACAAGCACCGTGGACTCCAGCGAGGCTTAAATTCAGAAAAGGAACCTGTGTTATATCGTTTGACCTCCTCAAAATCAGCCCTTCCAATTAACCGCACTCAAATCACCTTTATCCACCACCAAAGGGAAGCAAGGAAAAAGCAACGATTGGTGTATCTCTCTCTTCCGCCTCGCAGCCCCGTCGCCGATCCCAAACATCCCCGCCCGGCTGAATATATCGAGCGCGGCTTTTTGGTTCGGGAAACGTGAACATACCCGAGCTGGTGTGGTTCAGAGGGGGGGAACCCCTGAAAAACCGGGAGAGAAAGTGGGGGCGCGCAGGGCTTTTTGGGAAAGGTAGTCCTTGGCATACAGCTGCCTGTAGCGAAGAACTCGGTCCGGACTCTATCTCCCAGAGGCGCACTAGGCAGCGGGCTGGTAGGAGGCTTTCTCTGTACGAGCCTCCCTGACGTCGTTTCAGATTCACATTGCATCCTATCAGGCCAAAAGGCGATGATGTCACCTGCGGGCTTGTGTGAGGCAGCAAGACCGGAGTTACTCCTGCTGGCGGCAGCGGAGGAAGCCAGCCTGCCTTAACTAGCACCCATTGTAAGCCGAGCGGGGAACTGGAGCGGGCGGCGGCGGCGGCGGCTCCAGAAGGATGCACGGGGGCTTCAGGTAAGGCGGTGCTGCTCCCCCCCTCCCCGCTCACTACAGGCGGCAATCAACGCCCAAGCCGAGGCCCCATTTTCAGATGGTGTCTCGGGCTTGGCTTAGCGCGATATGGAGGCACCTAATTTACCTTCCGGGGTGGGGTGGGGGAAGAGAATAGGTGAAGCTTAAACGGCTTTCTCGTTCATCCCGGTGTCGGGAGAAGCGGCTTGAGGGACGCCCGAGCTTTTTAAGATTTTAAGCTGGGCTAATCGGGGAAGTGCTCTTGTCTGCAAACGAGGCAGGGTCTTCTTAGCTTTAAAAAGGGGAGGGGGCGGAAGAGGCAGAGAAACTTTAAAGGCGGTTTTCTTGCAAGCCAGAGGTAGAATCTGAACGGGAGAATTATGGGCGTCGCTGCGTGGATTGAATTCGCTCCTTTCTGGAAATATCCGTGCGCCCCTTTTCGCCTCCCGGAATTGTGTGGCTCCCCCCCTCCCCATCCCCAACAGATCTGCGCGAGAGACCAGAAAACTCTGGGTTTCGTGTGTGTGTGGTGTGTGTGTGT